TCTCCTCCAGTCCTACCTTTCAGAAAGTGGTTGATTTTCTGTTTCTAGAATTGCTGTTCTTCTTCTCTTCGATCTCCCATTGGATTTGTAGGTGTTTGCAATCTTTAGATAAGCTATCTAGCTGATCTCCCGATACCTGAAGTAGTCTCAGCCTGCTACTTCTCAGCCATCTTTACTCCCTCAGGCTATGTCTTTCTTGTACATGTAAACTCTTTTGGAACAGCTGGAGTTAAAGATGAGCAGGAGTTTGGTTTTGAGAGACAGAGTTTCAGGCATCAGCCACAGATGCCTCTGCCCTATTTCACTACATGTTCTTTTCTGATAAACAGATTCAGTGGTTGAGTGTTAATTACTGTGGTTGAAAGAAATGACCTGCTCACAACCATCCACCCTCCTTCTCCCTCAATGTGAATCTCACAACAGCAAATGCTGTAGACAGGAAGGTTGTCTGTGTTTCTTTTCACCAGGGAAATTACTTTGGTGACCTGGTGAATGGCATGGGCAAGATAGCCCACGTTGTCCAAGGTGACCCCTGCCACAGAGATGTGGCCATCCTTTGTCATGTAGGTGGAGAACTCCTTGGTCAGCCTCTCCACCTGTTTAGGCTTTAGTCCTGTGAAACGAAACATGCCAATCTGGTCAGTGATGTGCTGGCAGAAGTGGAGGAAGCCCTCCTTCTTGAGGCTGGAGACCAGCTGAGTCCACATGCTAGTGATGTGGTGGCCCATGCCTGTTACTTCCTGCAACCATTGTTTTCACATGTCAGGGCTGGTCAGAATGATCAATGCAATCCAAATCCCACTGACTGGAGGGTTGGGATACATGGGAGAGGCAAGATCTTCAACTGTGACTCCACTCTTTTGGCTTCATCAGTATCTTTACAGACCACAGTGAAGGTTCCCACATGCTCACTGTATAAGCCTGTGTTCTTTGCATAGGATTGGCAGAGACAAACATTAATTCCCTGTTCAATGAAGATGAAGTGGCATGTATCCCAGGCATCCTTGTTGCCATCACCACTGGCAAAGCCTTGGTAGGCCATGCCAAAGAATACAAAGATATTGTTTTTCTTCACCACAGTTGCTATTTCCTTCCATTGCTCAGGGTGAAAGTCCATTCCTGTGGGATTATGGGCACAGACATGCAGAAGAACATTTTGCTGTAGCATTTTTTAAATGTCCTCTAGAGTGCTTATGAAGTCACAGCTGCACGTCTTGGGGTCTTAGTATCAATAACCATGCAACTGCATGCCAGCGTCCCTGAAGATAGGTGTATGATTTCCCTAGGATGGTTTGGGCAGAAAGACATCTCGGCTGAACTTAAAAAACCTTGCAGTAAATCGTCTCTAATTCTCAAGGTCCTGGTTCCAGAAATGGCCTGCTTAGTGACATACTGGCTACTTTTCAAGACTTCATTGTTCTCATCCAGGGCTAGTTCTACAAATGCCTTGCAAAATTCAGCAACTCCCATGATGGGCAGGTATTCTTTGTCTACATTTTTTTGCAGCAATTTTGATCTTTGCCTTCTGGATAATAGGGAGCACATAAGGCTTTCCATATCATCTGGGTAGGCACCATATTCCAATTTTTATTTATTTATTTTTATTTATTTATTTATTTATTTATTTTGCTGTTGGTGTCTCTCTTAAAGGCTTCTGTAACTCCCAGAATGGGCTCTGGGGGCCCCATCTCCACATGCCCACATGGATCCAGCAGGATCTGGCTCTGGTAGGAGTCATAGCAGTGAGGCCTGGGTGGAAAATGGTGGCAACACAAGACAGGATGCAGCTGGAGTGCAGGAGGGCTGTGATGGGTGGTGAGAAAGCAGAGGGTAGCTACAGGAAGGAGCAGCAGGCACAGACATCTTTCAAAAGATTTTTATAGTAATTTATGTTTGTATATGGTGTGAGATAGGGGTACACACTGATTCTTTTGTGAGTGGAGGTCCAGTTGTTCCTTAGCTAGTTGTTGAAAAGACTATTCTTTACACTGAATGTTTTTAGCACTCTGGTTGAAAATAAATTGTCCATAAAGGTGAGGGTGTGTGTGTGTGTGTGTGTGTGCGTGTGTGTGTGTGCGTGTGAACTTTAATTCTATTAATTAATCTATATGATATCTTTAAGTCAGTTCCATGTAGTATTGATAACTTTAGCTTAGTAGTAAGTTTTTTATGGAATTATGAGTCTTCCACCTTTGTTCTTCAAGAACATTTTATCTATTCGGGGTCCATTGCATTTTCATATGAATTTTAGGATTAACTCATCAATTTCTAAAAGAAACAAGCTGGGATTTTGATATGGATTGCGCTGAATCTGTATATTATTTTGGGGTATATTGCCATCTTAACAATATTAAGTCTTCTGATTCAGGGGCATGGGATTCTTTCTACTTATTTAGGCCTCTTAAAATTTACTTCAACAATGTTTTGCAGATTTTGGAGTACACATTTTATATTTCTTTTGTTAAATTTGATTCCTAAGTATGTTATTTAATTTTTTTATTGAAGTATTATTGATGCACAATGTTATAGTAGTTTCAGGTGTACAACATAGTGCTTTGACAAGTCTATACATTATACTATACTCACCATAACTGTAGCTACCATCTGTCCCTATACAATGCTATTATAATACATTGACCATATTTCCTATGCTGTACCTTTTAGCCCTGTGACTTATTCATTCCACAGTGGGAAGCCTGCACCTCCCACTCCCCTTCACCCATTTTGACCACCTCCCCTCCCTCCTCCCTTCTGGTAACCATCCATTTGTTCTCTGTATTTATGGGTCTGTTTCCTAAGTATGTTATTTTTTAACATTATTATAAATGGAATTATTTACTTAATTTCGTTTTCTGGCAGTTCATTACTAGTGTATGGTATTAAAATTTATTTGTGTATATTGATTTTGTATCCATTAACAATGTTGAATTTGTTTATTAATTCTAATAGTTTTTTCGTAGTTTCCTTAGGATTTTATATATACATGCTCATGTCATCTGAACATTATATTGTTTTAAAATTATTTACATATATCACAATAAATTAATATATATTTTTCATGAGCTTACTTTTTTGGAAGCACAACATCCAAATAGTTATTTTGTACAAATTAACTATAAGTTCCTATTATTAATTCCTTCACTCCTTCATTCCTCCCAGCTCTCTCCTATCCCTAGAGAATCTAAAGACTCACTTCTGAGACCACTGGAGGTTTGTCCTAGACTAAGCAGAGAAAGCCTGCATCATTTCCTGCTGTTTCTGGGAGAAGATAGGCATGCAGCTTGCAGAGGGTGAGGGAACTGGAATGGAGATGGCATTCTGAGTTTCTTTGGTCCTGGCATTCCCCACAATCAGTTCATCATTCACAATGCATAGACTAGAGAAAAGTTGAACCCTTAGATAACTGGAGAAATGGACAACCCTACCCCCAACAACCCTCTTGCTCCCATTGCCACTCAGCAAGCAGATTCCTTTCATATCCCTGCTGTGCCTGATCTCTGGATTCCTTGGCTGGTACCTCTGGCCCGCCCACAGAGATAATTTTTGGAGGGATTGTCTACCAGCTTCACTAGATTTATAGATTTAATTCTAATGTATTTACCTTTTACAGAGACACAAGGAATGGATACTTCAATCCTCATTTTCAAAGTAAGACAGTGAGTCACTGAGGTATTATAATTTGACCAAGGTCACTCAGCTAGCTAGTGAGTGTTGAGGTCAAGAAAAGAATCTGGTGTTCTGACTCCCGAGTCCACACTCTTAACCACGATCCTAGACCTCTCCTTAGGTCTACCTGTTGGCTTTCCACTGAGGAAACTTCTAGGCTGTACCACTAGATTCCTACAACATTGTCCTCAGACTGGGATGGGTGTTTGTTCCATGTTGTACATACAACACAGCACTTACCTGGAATTGCTATCAGAAGTCAAGATGAAGGTCAGGGTGAAAGCATGGACAGAACCTTGAGAATTTCTTTCTACTTCAATGAGAACAAACAGCAATATCCCCTTAGAGTTGTATATATTTTTCACACAAGCAGTATTCCCCTTTCAGGGGCTTACTTGATAGTCTTGCAGTACCCTGATGGGAGCCAGACAGGGACAGTTTTTCACTGGAGATAGGAGGGTGTTTCAAGGACTGAGAGGGTAACAGTAGGGATAATCAACTCCCAGGGGTAGGACCCCCAACATGTATCAGATCCTTTGACAAATTCATGTTCACTTCATTCATTTTTTAAAGCAGCCCAAGATAAGCGTATTACTAGCCTGTTTTGCAAGTGAGGAAACTGAAAGATTAGATAATCAGCTCAAGGTCACCAAGTAAGGAACTGAGATGAGAGCTATAAAATGCCACAGACTGTGCCTCTAACATGTGAGCTGTGTTGAGTCAGAAAGGCATGGATGTGTGTCAGACCAGGATAGTCTGGGGGCAAGGTGGGGATGGGAGAACACAAAGGAATAAAAAGGGAAGGGAAAAGATTGGAAGGGAAGGAGAGGGGAGGGGAGGGGAGGGGAGAGAAGTGGAGGGAAGGGGAAGGAAGGGAAGGGGAGGGGAGAAGGGGAGGGGAGAGGAGAAGGGGAGGGAAGGGGAGGGAAGGGAAGGGAAAGAAAGGGAAGAGAAAGGAAAGGGAGAGGAGGGGAAGGGAGGGGAGGGGAGGGGAAGGAGTAACTTGGAAAGCTGGGAAAATTGGGAGGTAGTCCAGCCAGGGGAAGGATATAGTGAGATATCTGGGGAGGGGACTCTATAGATCCGTACCTTCCTTAAAAACCCCATTGACATAAAAACAGAGCATTGTTTCCCGAAAGGCAAGAACAGTTACTAAGGCTCTCGGTATCCTTCTGAACCTCTTACCCATTCTGAATTTCTTGGTCTGCCCAAGGGAGGAAACACCTGTTCACCATCTGGATGCTCAGGTCTACCACATAGGAGTTAAGGCCATGCTGAGTTTTAGGCAACATATTGAGGGAGTCAACAATGTCATACTTTGCATGTTTTAGCAGCTGAACCTGCAGGTTTGTGGGGGAAACAGAAAGAAACCTCAGGCCCTTGGCCCCTGTGTATGTTCTCTTCATGCCCCTTTTTCCATGCTGATCTTCTTGCTTTTAACATTTACCAGGGTTCTTGACCTTCTTAATATCCCTGCTGTCCTTGAAGTATTCTTCCAAGATGTTTCTAGGGGAAAAAAGAGGAAAGGGAGGTGGTGGTTAGGCAGTGTAGATGTTTCCAGAAGCTGATCTGTGTTTGCTGGGGAGACACATGGCCCAGGAACAGAATCTGAGCTCTGATACTCACAAGGTTGCATATTCAAGGTTGAAGGAAATGGTCAGGGAAAAGCACCCCTCATTGTGGTAAGCACTGAGAAGATCCTATCAGTCTCCTGAGTCATAGATCAAGTAACACATGAAGAGGAACAAAGATAGTAAATAGGCTATCTCTGTAGTTTGGGCCCCCATGGGGACTTGAAAGCTCCCCTCAACCCATGAGCAGAGCTATGCTTGGGTGGACCATTCCAGCCCTGTTGCGCCTTATGGTCCCAAGGGTACTTACTGAAGCAGGAATTGAAGGATTAAATTCTTAAGAATCTCAGATCCTTTATAGCTTTCCTGGAATCAAAAGACACCTTGAAACTATGTGGTAGACAAAGACTCCCTTGCAACATCCCAAATCATGCTTGGTTCATCCTCACCTTACAGGGCATTGGAGGTTTCAATGAAAATCACAGTTCTTGTTGGTAACACCTGGCCATCCTGAAGAAGGGAAGAGGAAATCAGAAGTGGAGACCACGGAGGTTGCAATTGGTGAAAAAGGGCATGTATAGGCACAGGGGGGAAAAGAGCCAGAGGTCATGGGTGAAATGGCTCCCAAAATTCTATCAGCAAGACTACAGTAGGAGTCTTCAACATACGATCCTGTAAATCTCCATTATTATATGCAACTTTAGGTAAATAGGTAAATGACTCTGTGTGTGTGTGTGTGTGTGTGTGTGTGTGTGTGTGTGTGTGTACATTTTCCAGGAAGAACAGTCATGCTCTTGTCAGGATTCTATATACCTCAATGGGCTAAGGGTCAGATAAAAAAATATAACCTGTATAAGTCCCCAAAAGCTTCAGGGCTGGTGTGGAGGTCATCAATGTTAATAGGAGGAGACAATGATGAATGTAGGCACCTACAAGACATAACAATGTGGAGAAGCAATCCTTGATGGCACTGTTCAAGACCAAAAATAGAAAGAAATAAATTGCAGTTTAGGTTGTAAAGGTTCTCCGTCTTTCCTTCTTCCTGGGTAATTCTCACCTAGACTGCCCTGACTCCCTTCTTCAGTGCTACCAGAATCCCAGGCTCCAGGGCTGCCTTCCCCTCCCCATCTCCCTTCCTTCCTCCAAGTATCCACTAAAGGCTCCAGAAAGAAAAGGGAATGGGGTGGAAAACTTGTGCTCTGCTACCTCCTAGGGGTGCAGCATTCTGCAGGACCATGATACCCCCCAGGGATGGCCCAGAATATTGGGGCAGGGAGGTAAGTGAGGCAAGACCTAAGAGGCAGGGAGGGAGAGGGATGTGGATGAAGACAGAAGAGGGAGTGAAGGTAAGAGGGGAGATGTAAGAGAGACATAGGGAGCAGAGACGAAGGAAGAGAAAACAAAGCAAATGGAAGGGAAAGAAGCTCTACCCTGGTGGTGGGAGTCAGGGAAGAAGAGAGAAGGAGAAAACGGCTCCCTGGCTGCAGCCCTTTCCTTCATCTGCCCTGGTTGGCCCTGGCACACAAGGAAGGAATGGAAAACATGTAGTGTTGGGCTGGGGGTCTACTGGTGCTAGCTGAAACTTTGTCACCTGTGTGAGCTCAGTCTGAGATGGGGATGGGGAACATGGCAGCCGTGGGAGCAGGAGACCTTCCCCAGGAGTAGAGGATGAAGCCCCAGGTCAGAATGGAGCTGAGGGTGTGGGGAACCCTCTTATGATCACCACCTTCCCTCCTGATGGCCCCAATGCACCTGTGCTTCTCTCAGTCAGTTCCTAGCCTGAAGGATTATTGTCATGTCAGGCTGCCCAAGGCTTCTCTGAAGGACCAGTCAGGATGATGTGATATGTGGAGGGAAGAGAGGAAGAAGTGCATCTGAGAGGCCTGTCCTCTCTCCTCAAGGACCTCTGCCCTCTACCTTCCATTACTGCTTCAGAAAGCCCTCTGCCCACTGGCAGTCACCCATTTCTGGCTCCCCGATTCAGGCAACCCTGGTTTCTCCCAAGGAAGGCCCAGTTCCTAACATTGGGCCAGAGGAACAGGACCTTGAGGAAGAGCCTCCCCACCCACCCCCAGAACCTTGGCCCTCAGCATGGGGCAGGCAGCCTAGAATTAGAGAGGGGACCCATTTGTTTCTCCTCTTGGGGTGAGGAGGGAAGCCCCATCTCAACAGGGAGTAGGAAGGCCTGTCTCAGCATGAGGCCATGGGCTGGAGGACCCTTGTCATTTCAGGTATTTGCATCTGGCTCAAGATGATCACTTCTGGTCCTGGAGAGGAGGATCCGTGCTTCCTGGAGCATTCTCATGGGAAGAAATGCTAGAGACAGTTGGGTGCAGAGTGGGGAAACAGCCCAGATCAGAAGAACAAGTGAGCAGGTCATTGGAAGGAAAAGACCTCTAAGCACAGGTAAGGGACACAGAGAGAGGAGAGAGGGGACCCCCTCCTAGAGGGGGTAATTCAGGCTCCCAAGTTACAAAGTTCCCCAGGAGGGGTGACAGAAGTTACTACAGACATTACACAGGTGGACTGGTTTGGGAAGATGCCACACAGAGGGTTCTCTTTTAGCCACAGCTCTTCAAGCTTCAGCCCTTTCATCTTGCCTAACTCCCAGACTGATGGTACCTGAAAAATATGAGAAAGAAACTAGAAAAATGTCCCATGAATAGACACCTGGGCCCTCCTTCTGCTCTGGTATCTTCTCCTGACTCCTCTCATCACTGATGAGCACTACCACCCACTGTCAACCCCAACTTTAATCTGGTTCTCTCTTCCCAACTCATTTTTGGAGAGGTTCAGGATATTTACTGTGGGGACTATCTGTAGAATGTCAGACAAGCCATCCAGCTGGTAAAGTTTGTTCTTGCACAAGTTCAAGGACAAAAGTTTTTGGGGAAGAACTTAGAGTGACAGTTACTATCCATGGCCTCAGAGACAAATCTTCCCTCTACACCCTGTGTTCCACCCTGTACCATAATACCAGCAGTGGACATAAGGCTTCACCTTGGGAAAATTCCCTTTGACTATCTGCAGGGTGGCAGCCATGTAGTTTCTTCAATTCAGGATTATATCTATATCATGGTCCATCAACTTTTCAAAAAGATGAGAGGAGGCATCAGAAGACTGAGAGGGATACAGGGCCAGCACCAACCTTTCCCTCATTACCATTCTTCAGTCTCCCTTCCAGGCAGACCCCTAGAATAGCAGTTATTTGCCATCAGTTGCACCTGGGTCAAAGTGGAGTTTATGGAGGTCAAGAGCTTTATGGGAGATATACAGCATTTGCTCATGGTCAGCTGCAGAGAAACACAGTGAGAGCCACTGTGAGTCTGTCATGGTGATAGGGAAATTGGGAGCTGGGGGAAGAAGAGGTAGGTCTGGGTATGGCATACAATGGACCTTGAGTCTTCATTACCTTTAGCTGCTCCATTTCTTCTGGCTCCAATTTATTCTGTATAGAGTAGGGTACAGCAGAGGGATTGACATGCATAGATAGCTATAAGAAGGAGAGGTGGGGTAAGCACTAAAAACTCTCATTTTAAGATGACTGGCCACTGGCCTGTCTTTCTGCACTGGAACTGGGCATGGGTAATATCCTCAACACATACCTTTTGATTTTTCTCATCACAAATCTTGTAGTTGGTATCATTCAATGCAGAGGCAGCACTAACATCCTGAATAAAGAACTGGGCTTGGTCTTTAAAGTAATGGAACTACAGGGATTGAAGGCAACATCAAGTGTCAGAGGTCAGTGGCCCCTGCTGAGCTATCTCCCCCTCTTCCCTGTGCCCACTCATCTGGCTTCACCATCCTCTCTGACATTGACCATGGTAAAGGGGACACTGCAATGGCTTTGGATTGAATTTATTAGCCATTTCTTGTTATACTTTATTCCATACGAAATCAAAGGATGAATCTAAGGGAAAGAAGGGAGACAACACGGCATTAAGACTGTAGAATAGACCCAAATTGGTGTTCTATTCCAACCTTCCACTGAGCTTTAAAAGGTTTCCAATGTCGGGACTATTGACATGATTTTAACTTTTTCTTTTACCAGACATGGATTTTTCTAATTTTCCATTCTCCCTATTTGAATATTTAACTCCCAATAATCAAATTTAGATATTTAGAATGATTTTCCTTTAATAAGGTTCCAGGAAATCCTATGTATTGAAAACCCTACGTGTTCCTCTGACAAGGAATTTGGAGAGTATATACCTCCTCACTCAGCTTGAGCCAAACTGTGGCATCTGGTGAGGAGTTGCTCCGTATCCTTGGCAGTAGTTTCCCCTTTGCCTTTAGTCAACTTCCTGTGACCTCCCTTCAGTCAACCTGTTCCTTCTGAATTGTTTGTGTGAACATACCCTTAGATGATCAAAGATGTTAACTCCTTTTGTCCTCAACAAAGTTCCTAGCATCTCTATATAAGACCAACACAACTCCCGTTGATCTGCCTCTCCTGCGCATTCCCTATTTTTTGGTCAGGATACTTACTGTGATCCTGAACCAGCCCCCTGAGCTTCCATCCTGTGTGTTCTCCATATCCCTCTCTTGAAATGTTCTGTCTTGGAATTCATTATGCCATTTCACACTGCTTTGTTGGATTGGAAAGTAGAGAGAGTGTTGTGGAGAAATTGTTGGTAGAAGGGAGTGTCCATAAATATATAGAAATGCTACAAAACTTTCTATATACTCTCACCTCAATAATGCCAGGCCTACAATTAGAATTGCTCAGTTGTTATTCCAGTTCTATCACTTTTCACTTTCAGTGAGAGAAGAAAAATACTATGGAGAACAAAAATATTTCAGAGTCACAGGGGGTGATTGTTGTAAATTAGGCTGCCTGATCACTTACTATCTTATTTGGGAATCTTATTGGGGACACCTCATTGCCATCTTTCCATTGTCCTCCTGAAGATGGGAAGGATGAAGCTCATATCCACATGTTCATAATGAAGATTCCCTTTGCCAAAATTACCCTGGGAAGAATCTTTGCCTTTATTTTTTTAAGGAGAGCTACCATCATTTTTATTTTAAATAAAAATAAATTTAAAATGAAATTAATTTCAAAATTAAGAAAAAAAACATACAAATTTGAAGACACATCAGTGGTCTCATACTATATACCTCATCTTGGTCTAACAGCATGGTAGGGCAAGTGAAGTGTTAACCTACCTGGATAGAATAATCATACAAACCCCACAAAGCAAATTTCTCTACCTGTCTAGATATGGGAGCTTTATTGACAGATGGCATAATCAGGGAGGAAATCATGAAGTAGAAGGTAACTATGTAGAACCATTTAGAAAATAGAGTGGTATTCATAAAGAACAGAAGTATGAACATTCATGAGTTATACACTAGAAAGGCATCTGAATCTTGCCTTCTTTCAGACCTCTTTAATCTAACAACTTCACCACAACCTGGAAGGCAACCTCTCTCTCACCTCCCAAGTCCAATAAACTATGAAGCTGATTTCATTAACATCAGCAAGCTGTACTTTCTTTTTTAGTATAGTACAAGCTTTAATGTCAGGTGAGACTGATGTAACAGCCTTCTAAACTGTCCCCTCTCCTTCTAATCTTGCTCTCAACAATATTCTGAAGTATCCGGAATGAGTTTTCTTTTGTTCAGCCTGACATGTTGTGGGGAATTGGCTACAAGCTGTCACGGTCCTTGCAGTCAAGGGAGTTTTGCCAAGGACTATCTCCCTCAATCCCAGCAGTTCACTCACTATTTGATTAGGCTTACATAAGCACTCTGGGTCAAGCTGACATGGTCCTTGAGATCCTCTGTAAATATGCTTAAGTAAACTCATTTTTTTTTAAGCAAGGCCATGAGGTGTGAATTGTGGTCCTCTGACCTTGAACTCCTTGATAAACATTCTTGTTATTGAACTATAAAATAAAGTCTCTCATGTATGTTGGCGCTCCACTGGGTCATCAGCCCATGGAGACCTCCCAATCCGAGCTTTCTGACTCTTGTTTTTCTTAACTTCCCACTATTCTCTCTTGGTCTTCCCTGGGACTTCTCGTGCTGGTCCACGACAAAATGTCCTTCAGCTCAGGAGACCATTATTTCTAACTTCCAGGGTTTTTTTTTTTTAATTTTTTTAAAATTTGACAGAGAGATCACAAGTAGGCAGAGAGGCAGGCAGAGAGAGAGAGGAGGAAGCAGGCTCACCCCTGAGCAGAGAGCCTGATGCGGGGCCCGATCCCAGGACCCTGGGCCCACGATCTGAGCTGAAGGCAGAGGCCTTAACCCACTGAGTCACACAGGTGCCCCTAACCTCTAGGTTTTAAAACAAGGATCTGAACAATGAACTGGAATGATAGATGTCAACTACAATTTCCAAGTGTTTACTTTTCTGTTTGCTTTCTGTTGTTGATATATAGTTTGATTCCATATAGTCAGAGAACATACTCTTTATCTCAGTTCTTTTACATTTGTTGAGGTTTGTTTAATGGCCCAGAAGATGGTCTATCTTGATGAAGTTGCATGGGAACTTGAAAAAATGTATACTCTGTTGTTGTTGGGCAGAGTATTCTGGTATATGTCATGTAGATTATGCTACTGTATTGATTGCATTATTCAGCTCTTCAATATTGCTGATGATTTTTTCTCTAGTAATTCTATTACTTCCTGAAAACAGGTGTTGAGACCCCAACAATAAGTGTGGATATGGTCATTTCTCCTTCCAACCTCATCAGTTTTTACTTCATGTACTTTGAGATTCAGTTGTTTTGATGTGTACACATTAAAGATTGTTTGGTCTTGCTGATGGATTTATCCTTCTACCATTTTGTAATATCCTCTATGCCTCTAATTTTCTTTGTTCCAAAGTCTACTTTATCAGATATCATGGCCTTGGGTATGGATATAAACTTTTTTTTTACTTTAGAAATAAATTTTAATGGAATTCAAATTTACAGGATCCCAAACATGTGTTGTTGTTGTTTTTTTTAATATTTCACACTATTCACTCCTTCAGTTTTTCTTTTTTGGACCCCACACTTGCCACCACAACATATCTAATTCATTATGTGACAAGATTTGGAAATTTTTTTCTGGAATCTACAGAAATAAGATTGTTGCAATTATCTCTCCCAAAGTAGGGTCACTAGGGGTATCTATATTTTACTATTCAGAGGAATTCAGCTGAAACAATGTACCAGTTGGTAGTAATACTAGTGGTTTGGGGGGAGGGAGGATTAAGCAATTAGATGGTTAGGAACCAGATTTTCTTGGGTTTTAACATTTAAGTTTCTCTAAGTTTGTGTGTTGCACATTGTATATTAATTACTCCACATTGTCTCAGAGCATGCTTATGAGTAAAGATCTATTCATTCCTGGTCACTCCATGATGCACTAATTATGAACAGGCCTTGGATTAACTCCTTTGGGAAGTGGTTACTTTCACAGTGTGACCCGCTGTCAGAAAAGTCCTGTTACTCGCAACTTCTGATATTTTCGTTGTATGGCACATGGAAGTGAAATTAAAGTATTTCAACCAGAAATTCCATGTGCTTAGTGTCCAAAACTTGGAATTAGCCTCGAGTACTCTCTTTCTCTCATACCTCACACCAAACATCAAAAAATTCTCTTGGCTTGCCCTCAAAATATGTCCAGTCTAGTTACTTCTTACCCCCTCTATCACTACTAACCTGGTTGTTACCAACATCAGTCTTCTGTATTATATTGCCTTCCAACTGGTCCCTCTGTTTTCACCCATGCTCCCTCACTATTTTTAACTCAGCCGGCAAAGTGATATTTTAAAGCGTAAGTCAAAACTTGTCAGTCTTTTGCTATAGAGGACTTGAAGCCCATCAAAATGTTAAAAGGTGAGTTCATCATGATAAGAGCAACAAAAAGAAACCTTGTTGTTGACATTTGGAGAAGGTCAGTAAGTCAACTTAGTTTCATGAAAATTTATAAAGAAGAAGAATCAAATATTTATTCTTTTTTCTGTATAAGGTGTATATAAAGATAGCAAATTTATTGATGATGGGGTTTCTTTTTATAAGTGTATTCTAGCTAATATAAGAAGGCATGATAGAATTTGAGCATCATCATTTTAAAACTCCTAAGTAAGGAACCTACACAATGGTGATAAATGGCTGGTAAATATCACACACACACACACACACACACACACACACACACACACACACAAACACACATCAGACATCATGTGTTATGTTATAGGCACTGTCTATGAAGAAGTCTTGTCAAAAGGATCAAACCTGTGTCTGATCAAGACTTTTAAGTTCTTGGGGTGCCTGGGTGGCTCAGTGGGTTAAAGTCTCTGCCTTCGGCTCAGGTCATGATCTCAGGGTCCTGGGATCGAGCCCCGCATCAGGCTCTCTGCTCATCGGGGAGCCTGTTTCCCTCTCACTCTCTGCCTGCCTCTCTGCCTCCTTGTGATCTCTGTCTGTCAAATAAATAAATAAACTCTTTAAAAAAAAGACTTTTAAGTTCTTGTTTCAGCATTAAGATGCAATGACAGTTTCTTTAACAAACAAATGAGGGGAAAAGATATGTGAATATATTCGGTATTTTATGTTTGTATGCTATTGGGATATATTATGCATTTATGCAGATATAGATATCTGCATTTATATATAGATATATATAAAATATGATCATAAGCAAAAAACCTCTTTAACCAGCACTTTTTATTTAACAAAATTTTTATGCCATTGCATGTTCAGAAATACTTAATAGATTTTTATTATTTGTCAAATTAATATGCTTTTTCTTTAAAGACACTGTAGAAATTAAAACTAATGTAACTTATTCACCAGAGCAAGAACTGAGGGCTTAATTTCATTGAGCTGGAAGCTCAGGAAAAAATAAATAACATTAATTTGAAACATACCTTTTTATATTTTAAAAATGTGGAAATAATAATTTCTGATTTTCATATAATTTGTACATTAGATTATCATTTCAGTTAAAATCTTAATTGTCACAAACATTAACCTACTAATACAGTTTCAAAATTTTTTTAAAGATTTTGCTTATTTATTTGACAGAGAGAGAGATCACAAGTAGGCAGAGAGAGAGAGGAAGAAGCAGGCTCCCCTCCAAGCAGAGAGCTGGATACAGGACTCGATCCCAGGACCCTGAGATCATGACCTGAGCCGAAGGCAGAGGCCCAACCCACTGAGCCACCCAGACGCCCTACAGTTTCAAATTTTAACAAATCCAAGGTTTTGCTACAATAAGCTAATATGAAAAAGATTATATACACATTCTATATATTTTATTGTTTTCCATGTAATAATTCCCATAAGTAGATTATTTTGGTCAAAACAGGAATATTACCAATTTTAAGAAATTTTTATAAGTGACATATATATATATATATTTTACACCTCTTTGCATGCTAAACAACAGTGAGAGAAGGAGTCTATTTACTCACCAGTCCACCTCAAATTTAAAGAGTTTGCATTCTGATTAGACAATTATCTTTTAAATTTATATTCAGAATAACATTGCCTCTAATAAATATATGTATTTATTTAAAACACGAAGATATAGTGGAGTGGGGATCCAGAATCTATTGTCAGTGGAATGGTTGAAATATGAGAGTGACTGACCTGAGGGCCTCAGAAAAAGGAGCAAATAGTCAAAAATAGGGGGATAAGATGATGATGTGTGCTTGTAATATAATAAAACAAGAAAATTATCTGAGGTACTGACTCTATGCTGGCCAGACACATCCATCTGGAAAACTTAATGGAAAGCATATTACATGTGTTTTCCTGTTCTTGTTACCTTATCTTCCAGACATTAGAGAAAGCACAGTGCAGAAGATAGTGATTATAAGGACTATGCCAAACTAAGCATGAAAAAAGAAATAAATTTAGAGTTTTGTTTCCAGCACTTAGAGATGAGCTAATTTGAACCAAACTTCCAACTTAGAACAACTAGAAAAGTGTAAAAAAATCATTTAAAATAAAATACTATTTGAAGGCATCAAAGAGCTTGCCATGCTATAAGATGCTGTGGAGCAAAGATCAGAGGGTAAAAGAAAATCCAGAAGGCAATCCCAATGTTTGAGGCTACTTCTCTTTGAGCAGCAATTGATGATTCCTAAGGAGACACATAAAATGCTTAAATGCTGGCAAATTTGTGGCAGATTTTCTACAGAGTCATAAGGTTAAGTATATAAATGTTGAAAGTGGGGCTTCCAGGGAGAGGAGATCCTAGCAAACCACTCAGGCTTAAGTAGGGACCTCCAAGAACTATAGAAGGCAAGTAAGGGCAAATTGAAACTAGATCAGTCCTCTAAGGGACTGAAGTCCAGATTGATAATCTCAACCACCAATGGGATTAAACGTATTTGGGGTTGTTTGTTGCTGTCTGGCAGTTTATCAGGAAAAAAAAACAAATGAAAAAAACTTTTTTCATGAAGAACAATAACTTCGTTCTAGGACTGAAGTAAATAAATCCACAGTGTATTACATATAGTTCCCTGAAAAAAAATTAGAATAACTAGCTTAAAAAGAGATAAAATAGGGGTGTCTGGGTGGCTCAGTGGGTTAAGCCTCTGCCTTCGGCTCAGATCATGATCCCAGGGTCCTGGGATCAAGCCCTGCATCAGGCTCTCTGCTCAGCAGGGAGCCTGATTCCCTTCCTCTCTCTGCCTGCCTCTCTGCCTACTTGTGATCTGTCAAATAAATAAATAAAATCTTAAAAAAAAAGAGATAAGATAATATGATTAAAAATCAAGGAACAAAAAAAGACATTTAAAAAATCCACATGAAATCCAGATAATGGCATTATTAGACGTAAACATTAAAATAATCATGGGGAGTTAGGAGAAGGGAGTTGGGGGAAATTGGAAGGGGAGGTGAACAATGGGAGACTATGGACTCTGAAAAACAATCTGAAGGGTTTGAAGAGGTGGGGGGGGTGGGAGGTTGGGGGAACCAGGTGGTGGGTATTAGAGAGGGCACGGATTGCATGGAGCACTGGGTGTGGTACAAAAACAATGAATACTGTTATGCTGGAAATAAATTAAAAAAAAGATTAAAAAATAAAATAATCATGACTATAATTGTCAAGAAAATATAAAAAATTGAAAATTTGGTCAAGAATTTGAAAATATAAAAAAAGAATGAAAACTCTAAAACTCAAAAACACAATACCCGGAATTAAGAACAATTATAGTATTAGCAGCGTAAGAGACACACTGAAAGGAGAGTCAGAGAAATAAATGAAGGGTCTGAAAAAAAATATCCAGAATGAAGTATGGAGAGACAAAATGATGAAGGATATAGAAAGAGATGGAACAAATTTAAAAGGTATTCAGTAAATATATTAAACATGTTTAATTGGAGACCCATAAAGGAGAAAGAACAGTGCAGAATAGTATTTCAAGATAGAATGTTCAAGAAATTTTGAAAAGTAACATAGGACATTAAGTCACAGATGTAGGAAGCAGTATGTATATATGCCAACCATAGTGAGGTATGAGGAAAACCAAACCCAGGTCCATCACAATAAAGCTGTTGAAACACAAATAAAGAGAAAATATTTAAAGAAGACAGAGACAAACAACAGATTATCTTAAAATGAGCATAATTAAGACTGACATATAATGTTTAAACAGAAATAATGCTGGCTTGAAGAAAGTGAAATTCTATCTTCATAGAGTTGAAGTAAAATAACTGCATACTTAGAATTTTGTGTCTATAAAAAACTTATCTTTTGGAAATGGAAGTTAAAAGTAGACATTTTAATGCAAACAAAAGCTAAGCAAATCTGTCACCAGCCAACTCATACTAAAGATTTATGTTCAAGTCAAAAAATATGATCTGAGATGAAGGCATATAGATGCAAGAAGAATGAAGAATAATGAAATTTCAAAATATGGAGGAAAATCTAAATGAATATTGACTGTATAATATAGTGATAATTTCTTTGAAAAATTTTTATATAATTATATTATAAATATATTATATAATATAATTAAAATGCATATCAATAAATCAGGAGGCATTAATAGAATTGAACTATGAAAGATATGAGTGTTATCCAATGAAATGCAAAAGAACTGATTTATGTTAAACTGTGATAAAGCAAAAGTATATGTTGTAACCTGAAGAGTAAACACTACAAAAATGACAAAAGAATGTTAAACTTCCAAGTGAAATGGGTAAAAATTGAAAAATCAAAAATAATAGTATTAAACACTATGAAATAGAGGAAAAGGAAACTAGAAAGGAAAATAAATATAGGGTAAACAATAAGATAATTTAAACTAAATTATAGCTGGAATTACATTATATGTCAATGGCCTGAAGGTTTCTAATTAAAAATCAGAGATCATAAACCTAGCTTAGGGGCGCCTGGGTAGCTCAGTAAGTTAAGTGTCCCACTCTTGATTTTGGCTCGGGTCATGAGATCAAACCCCGAGTCAGGTTCCTGGCTCAGTGGGAAGGCTGCTTGAGATTCTCTCTCTTCCTCTGCCCCTCCCCCCACTCTCAAGTAATTAAAAAAATCTTTAAAAAGCATCAGATTAAAAAAATATTCAATCAAATGCTCCTTTAAAGGGACATATGTAAAATGTAAGTATATAGAAAATGTTTAAAAAAAGATGGCATAAGATATACCACTTAAACAGAGTCTCAAAGCTGGTATGAGAATTCATAAGAGAAAAAAAATATACCTCAAGTAAAAACATTACTAGAGAAAAGAGGAGATTACAAATGATAAAATGCTAAATTCAACAAAAATATTAATAAAATAGTTTTTATTAACATATAATGTATTATTTGCCCCAGGGGTACAGGTCTGTGAATCATCAGGCTTACACATTTCACAGCACTCACCAAACCATATACCCTCCCCAATGTCCATAACCCAGCCACCCTATCCCCACCCCCCACCCCCCAGCAACCCTGTTTTAATAAAATAGTTTTAAATTTTTATGCACCTTTTAATATGGAGCCCAAATATACATAGCAAAAACTGATAGAAATAAATGGAGAAAATATACACAGTAAAAAAAATGACAGAATTAAAGGGCAAAATGGACAAATCCACAGTCCCAGTGGGAAATTTTCATACACTTCACTGAGTGACAGAATAGACAAAAAATCAGTTAGATAAAGAAGATTTAAACAACATGAGTAGCAAAACTTCCTTAATTGACAATAAAACACTGCATATTACAATGCATGTAATGTTCCAGAATATATCATATATGGGCCATAAGCCAAGCCTGGAGAAACCTTGGTGGGGATAATACAATATACCCTGAATGGTTAATGTGAAAATTCAAAGGTAATAGTGGGTTCTGTGTCTCTCCCCTTCCTCTAGTATGCATTCCAAGAATGTTAATTTCCAATACTTCTCTCGAAGTGATCCTCCTCAGGCCTCAAATCCTGGACCAGAGAGGATCAAATGACTCAGGACTTCCACTCAACCAAAAGGAACATCTCAGCTTAGTTACAGCATAGTTATCTCAGCATCACCACAGGAGGGGAGGTTTTCCACATGGAACCAAGATGGGTATGTTAGGGCCCACTCAACCCATTTCTTCAAAAGTGTAAAAAAGAGCCTGGGCCTTTGCTACTCTCCTGCCAGGCCATCTAAAGAGGGCTTAGCTGGGTGTCCTGTGGCTTAGGATTGAGAAGGGGGCCTAAAATCCTCTGCCTCATGTTGACCAGCTCACCTATGGTGTGACCTGAAGGAGTGCCCTGTCCCCACTGTCCTCAAAGGGTGTTTGTGAAGAGAATCTGTGGGGTGTGGAGCTGGGAGTTTGTGGCAGATCTGATTACAGCTCTTGAGGAAAGTAGGAGCAGGCCCTAAATCCTTATCAAGGCCACACAAGTAAGATGGAGTTCTTACAGGAAATTCCTTCCCCAAGGGCATAGAGAAGCGATTCCTGGCAGCCAGAGACTTAACTTACTGTTCTTACTGCCCCCCACCCCAGCTGGCTACCAGCCTAACACTCAAGGAACTATTTCCAACCTAGTGATCTCCACAGAGGCATTAAGTAGAATTAAGAGGACTGGATCACAGAAATTTGTAGCTGCAAAGCAGAGAACTCTGAGGGTCAGCTGTGGCCAGGCTCTGTGTTGGCTGCATTACATTGTGTTCCTTCATGAATTTCTCACAAGGAGACTCTTATCTGTAGAATTGCCACTCTTTGCCCCCTTTGAAGTTGCTAAGGCTTAAGAAAGTGTAGAAAATTGTCTGGAGTAATTCAGACATTATGTGGGCATGTAGACACTGGAACTGAGCTTTATAGAATGGGCATGATCCCACCATGCATAGCTTTAATAAGCTCTCTCAGCGATGTATCAGATTTACTTAAGAAGGAGCAAAGTTAAAGATCTGAAAATAGTCACATGGCTGGAAAAAACTCCATTCCATATCAGAGAGGTCATACTAGAGTCTGACCAGTAATTTATAAAGGAAATAGCAAACGGAGTTTGGTAGGATACTGGAATGAGAGTAGAAAAAAAAAAATCATGCCTTTTCCTTGCCTGTGAGGGGGAAGTTATGTAGAAACATTCCCCCTGGTGGTCAGGGCTAGAATTGTAGCGCTGAAGGTCTGTCCAGAAGACTTTGTAAAAGGAGGGAAGGGAGACAGGGGCCTGGACTCTAGTGCATCAGCCAGAACTTTCTGGTATTTTTCATCCTTCTTGCAGCAGTCTCTTCCTGGGTTTCTATGCCCTGAGAGAGGATATCCAACTTCTGATAAGCTGAAAAGAAATAAGCACTTAATAATGTTTAAACATTAGGGGTTAGGGAAGCATTAGGACAAAAACATATACACATACGTAGATAAACTGTCAAACTGTATTTTTAAGTGTTTCCCTCAACAATTTTGCCTACTCACAAAATATTAAACAATATTAAATATGTACTTAGGAAATAAAATCATCCTGTATCTTTCATCTATATTATCTCCTCAACCATGACCCGTAGGTACTCACTGAAAATAGATTGGTGCACATTTTCTAGATGTGTAAAATAGGTGTTTACTTATCTTAAAATATTTGTTAGGTATTATATATATATATATATATATATATGCACACACACATATATATACGTATATATTCAATGGTTCATGTGATATATATATATATACACACATATATATGCATACGTATATATTCTTTTTAAATTTTGCAATCACATAAAGAATTTTCTGCAAATTGGATTTTTCACTCATTCAGACATCTCTGGATTTTCACTTCTTTGGACAATGTGGTTTAGCCTCTGTGGACATTTACTGAACAATCATTTTGCTTTTTAATTAAATTAACTGTTGATATCTTTGTCTATCTCACTCCTGATTAGCCAAAGTCCTTCATGTATAGGCATATTAGTACAAAGTCTGCAATATTATTTGCATATATGTTCTTCCTACTTCTTACATTTTAATTTTTTTCTTTTGGAACTATAGAAAGTATTTCTGAATTTTAATTGGATTTATGGTTTAAAATGACATAGGTCTTTCTTGGAGGGTAAAGTAGGGACTGAAAAACACAAAGGGAATAGGAAGAGAAGGGAAGGGATCAGAGATTCTGGGAGGGTTCTCAGAGGGCTCCCAGCCAGTGGGGGAGGGAGCAGTGGGACATCAGGGGAGGGAGCTCTATGCACATTCACCTTCCTTGAACACTCTATTGATAGAGAAGCAGAAGACAATCTCCTGAAAGGGAAAAGCACAAGTGCTCAATCACCACCTAAATCACCACCCTCTACCCACCTGTGGCTTTCCGGGGCTGCCTGAGGGAGGAAGCAGGTACTCACCATCTGCAGCCACATACCTACCATCTTCTTGCCTATCACACACTCACACACACACAGGGGTCCTTGAACTAATTCACATTCTTGCTACCCTTGAAGTACTCATACAAGCTGCTTCTATAAGAAAAAGGAACAGAAAGTGGTGGTCTGGCCTGTGTAGGTATTTCCCACACTGTCTGGTGGGAAGACTCTGGCCCACAACCAGAGTCATGGATCAAGTAGTAACTGTGGGGGAGTAACGAGGACAGTCTATCTCTGTGGTCTGGACCCCACATGAGATTTCAAACACCCAATCAGCAGTTCTGACCTTGGATGACCTCTCTTGTCACTCTGATGAGCACTACCACACACTCTCAACCCAATTTTGATCTAACTTTCTCTTCTAAACTTACTTTTGGAGAGGTTTAAAATCTTGATTGCATGGGCCATCTGTATACTATCAGACAGGCCACCCAA